GCAGAGTGGTGTTGTGTCTAGGATGCATACAGCAAAAAAAAAAATAAACACGTGATTGTCGATAGATAGAAACTAAAACACAGTTTGCGTCTATGGTTGTTATTGTTTTATTCTGACACATGAAGATTGTTTACCATAACCAAATGAATATTAGTTGTTTGTGATCCACAAAGAACACCGTTAATGCTATTTATTATGCTTTTTTTAAGAGCCAGTTTCAGACAAGACTTCGACACCAGTATCATCAATAGATGACTCGTCTGACAGTTTGCAGATTCATTCGGAACATAAGGTAATACTGAAATTTCCACCTTAGATTTCTGACATGAATTAAGCCTGGAATCCTGGAAAAGAACTTGACCGAGTGAACCATACTTTTTTCAAGAGTGATTTAGCTATAATTGTGATGAGTGAAATGGTATATAATATGTTGGACTTGAATCTAAAAGGTTCAATCTTTGCCACGGAAACGCCATTTTAACAGTAATATTTATTAGGTGGTTGTTTTAAAGGCAATTCGCACTGTAATACCACAAGTTTATTTTGGTAATAGATATGAGATATTGATGACATCAATAAGTTTAGTGACATGAGCATTAAACTGTTATCATTATCCACTTCTATTAATTGGTACTCGCCCTGTTGCTCTTGTCTATTCCTCCTTCATCAGATTCTGTCCTATTAATCGAGATCAGTTGTTAAAGTTTTTATTACCTCTTTATGTGCTTTTAGCATGAACTTCCATGTTACTTCTAAGATCTTGAGTTGAAATACTATACCAGTATGCGCATTTTGAAAAGCTAAAATCAACGAAGCCTTAAACCTTAAATGTGATAAAAAGTGGCCAATGAAAAGAAAACGTATAAAAAAAGAAAAAAAATTAAAGCCAAGAAAATAAAGCCGAGATAAACAATAGAAATGTACCGAAATTAATACAGATAGAAATCATTTATTTCATTCGTCATCATATTGATGGTTCAATTATCTTTATAATAAATATGCAAGTTAAAATATAGAACAAGTATCTCCTTTGTCATCTTTTTTAACACAGCTAAAAACGGAGGATAGATTTAAAATGGTGCCAACTGTTAGCACAGTTGAAGAATTGGCAATGAGGATGGATCAAGGGTTTTCACGGATGAACGAAAAAATTGAACAGATTAGACTTGAAAGTAAAGAGAGAGAAGAAGGGTTGTGTAGGATGATTGTGCTGATTAATATGAAAAAAGAGAAACTGATAGGAGACTTAGAGAATAATGAAGCGGCCTATGACCAGCTAAAACAACAATTTGACGATCTTCAGAATCAATACGATGTTCTTTGCAACGAAATGAAAACGATGGAATCAAACGAAAGATGTCTCACGGAAGAAAACAAACGACTCAAAGAAAACGTATTGCAGTTAGAAAAGGAAATAAAAGATCTCGGAGATGAACTGGTTAGCATGCAGCCGACAAACCATGCAAAAGGAGCTAAGTACGGCAAATTAGTGAATCAACGAAACGTTCGAGGAAAACAGAGAACGGGCAAATCAAGTCCTAAAAAAGTTCTTAACATAAATAAATCTGGAAAGTAAATGAAAGATTTTTTTACAGATTGATCAAAATAAGGTTTTATTTTAATTTTTCTTTACAAGATCCTGAGATCTGAAGAATGGAAAAATCGCACTGTGACGTCAGGTTTCCAACAGTAACATTTTAATTATGAAATATTCCTTGAAAATTATTTTGGTTTTTATCTGTTTTATGAATCAACGAATTTCAATGGTACTTTCAAATTTTAAGATTTTGTTCATATGCTGAAGGTTGTCAGTGTTCGATTTCTAAGTAGTTTTACATTAACTTCTCTAATATAAATGTGTATATATGTCATGGATAATCTTTATCCGTAATAACAGATGAGCTTGGTTCCATATCCGTGGTGTTTATTCGATATTTATCAAATAATTACAATAATTTTGTTATCAGCTTGATCAAAAAATGAATATTTCTGGCCCACTTGGTAATTAGATATTTTTTTATTCATTTGCTTCAAAGTTTTAAATGCTATACATTTCAGAGTTTGTATTGCTACTGCATTTATTGTTAATGTCTTTTACACCATACACAAAGACTGAAGCACGTTAAAGGCACACACAATTCAATTGCACACGTTGTAATATCTGTATCAATGATTTAAAACCATTTTTTAATTGAATCACTAAAACGTTCAAGATGATAAGCGCCATAAAAAATGACCAAAGAAATGAGTTAAATGTAATTTCTAAACTCTTTTAATAAAAGCAACGCGGGAATTTGATTCCTTACTGTAGGGTTCATGGCATAATACAAACTTTGACATTTTCCTCTGCATATTTTAGACATAAAACAAAACTTGATCATTATTTTATTAACCTTGTTAATTCAAATATCAGCCTAATTGCCATATGCACATAGACAAATTTGCAAGATGTATTAAATAGAAAATTGAGAATAGAGAATATGCAAATAAAGCATCTAATTTAGAGTTTAAATTCTTTTTTATTTTTGAAAGCCCGCTTTATGGTAAAATGTCATGTAGCATAATATTTTCTGCTTGTTTATATTTCTTAAAACATTCTTTACAGATTACAGTTTCAGTGATAATATCTTCTTACTTTAACACTTTCTATTTCTTCCTGCCTACGGCCGAAAAACTCCTTTTCAGTTTTTTTTAATATGTGATCATACGTGAAAGGTGTCAATTTAGTTCACTTTAGGTTCAGCAACAAGGAGGGAAACCAGCCTAGATTGTTTTAAAGGATGTATTGTTTCTATATGAATTGACAGTTAACCGAACCTAAATCAGAGTCAACAGCTATAAATACATTCTCAGTCACAAAACTATTAAAGCCCCTTTTTGAATAATTCGTGAAAGCAAGGCTCGTCCATCTTTGGCCTATATATTTTAAATGAAGGTATTTTATGTATTGAAATAGGCTAATTATCTTATTAGCATCTTTTCCCCTGTTTCTTATAATATTCTAAAATATGGAAAAAGGAAATAGCACACACTATATGGTTACACAGTGAATGATATAAAAGTTTCAGATATAGCCTTGAAAGGAATTCTTTTATTTGTATGTTTTACTCAAAACTGCAAATGTAGTGTTATTGGGAAAAAGTATCAAACATAGTTAATTGATAGGCATAGTAATAAATGTAATCTATTTGTTAAAGCCCTTTGAACTGGAAATTCAGCGGTTACTCATTGACACTACATTGCTAAAAGACGATTTCAACCATAGCAGTATTAAATACACAACCCTTATACCCTTATTGCTGCTCTGTGGTATATACAATATCAAAAAAAAGCCATTCTAGGTTAAGTTCAAAATGGAACATTACAAAGACTCTAAGTTGGATCAATAAACTATGGATAAACAAATACTAGTATCAAAGTTAACGTAGTTTATCATCCACAATTTGACAGCCTTTATAAGTAACAAAGTAAAGTGGCAGGCAATAAAACCTATACATGCTTAAGTTGACAAACGATGTAGTCGATGTCACATGAGGGATTAATACTGAACATTAAGGATCACGTTGTACTCTTTCGCACGTAAGTAGTGTTGGTTTCCATAAAACTTGTCCACTTCAGGATGGTTATGATTAAATAGGCCTAAATCTCCATTCGTATGTGCTGAGTGCAAAACATTACCGATATTCAATTCCTCTCCCGTTTCCTGGTGTCAGCGATATAAACAATCTACTAACAGTGTGTTCGAAACTTTAGTACTGTCAATTACAAAATCTTAGTCTTCTTTTCGACAGCATAATTATATGCTAAACGCAACATCTTTCAAAATGAAGTGTTCAAAAACGGATACCTACATCACTACGGGGGTATGGTGTGTCTATTATATATATATATATATATATATATATATATATATATATATATATATATATATATATATATATTGTCGACGAGATTAAGTCCTTTAGCAGCTATCCAATCAGAAGTTAGATTGCCTGGTTTTCTCGATGAAAATTCATGACCTGAACTTAAATTCCATCAGATTCCTGAGTACACTTTCTGTTATTAGTGTTACGAATATTTAAATCGTATATGTTAGTTTTTTTCCATGATTATTTATTATATATAATTGTATTTTTGACTTGACTTGTCTAAAATCAACTTCCTTGTGTACCTGACTAGTAAATATTAATTTTGTAAACAAAAAATACATAGCTGATAGAAAAATATAACTGTGACCTAGGTCTGGCGAAGGTGTTTATAATCTTGTTAACCTGAAATATTACTCCTTTCTGCTATCACATATAAAGGAGAAATTAGTCTTATTGTTGCGTGCAGTATTTGATTTGTGTGGAATTATTTATTCCAATTATTAGTCACTGGAATACAAAATGCTTTTAAATAATATTCTTAGACGGAAACATTAACTTAGAATTATGGCAAATTGAAATAATATTAGTGGGATTCGTCAAACTAATATTGACAAATTTCTAGGGCACAAGCTTCTAAAGGCACATATCACATTCCGATTTGTATTTTATTTCGATCACCACCGGAATTGAATTAGACATTTATTCATTGCGTTTTTGACTATTCAGGATTTAATTGGTAATACTGAAAGTTCTTTTTAAATTTTCACTTTGTAATCTAGGGAAATAAATTATTTGCTGAATTTAACAAACTGCTTTCGCTCTTTTCTATTACATAGTTTAAAACCATAGAGTCATTCTATTAATTCATGAATTTTCACCGTTTAGACCACGATGCAGACTATGTAGTAATGACGGTGCCCCGGATCCCGTGACTCTAAAGAACACTTAATTACGTCTCCAAAGTTTACTAAAATTTCTGGCTCAAACCCTGAGTATCTTATTCACAATTCACGATGGTATTGTATGTACACAGTACGAAACTTTGACCTTGCGCATTAGTCTCTTTCAGCCTTAAGAACTTACTGCAGACAGATGATTTCAGAAGGCAAAGTTTCGTATTCGCGATCAACTGCTCCGGTGGACTAGAGGTTAGAGTGTCCCCCTCGGATGCGGGAGGTCGTGGGTTCGATCCCCGGTCGGACTTACAAAAATGTTACAAACAGATGCTTTGGCTTGACGCTCAGCATTAAGAGGTTAGTGTTAGGACTGGTCAGCCTGGTGTCAGAATAATGTGACTGGGTGGGACACGATGCCCCAGTGCTAGACATCACAATAATTTTTATATATTAATAACAATTTAATACCATGCTAACTTTATCTAGCATCTTGAGTACACATAATTTATTTCGCCTGAATGTTGATACCTGGCACGTAAGTCTTTATTTATGTTTAATGAAGTATCTGCTTTATGCACCGTGTTTCATTTACAAATCAAAATTGTTAACCTGAATATATGCGATAGCTCAGAAAGTTTAATTCTGATTTCTGATTATGTATGTAGAAAGCTACCTTGATTCCATCCGTTCTTATCCAGATCCTCAATTCTCTCTGCCCTTACTTGTCTTGTATTCGAGTTAAGTTGATAAATTATCTAGAATGTAAGTTCAGAAAATAACACTTTTAACATTATTTATATCATTCCTGTATACATATTTAAAGGGTAGTACAGAAAATCTGTAGTTTAGATTATCCTTCAGATGGAGAAAGAGGTCGTTCTCTGCAAGTTCAAATATCTAAGTCTAGATTGTCGTCGTAAAGTTCTTGATTGGATAAAAAGAAACATGAAATCACACACTTTCCTTTTATCATAATTACGTTTTTATTTTATGTTATGCCGACATTATGCACTTGTGGACCATTCGTTTCTTCGATTTACTATTATTAGGAAATTAACTAAAGTAAGAACATAGCACAGTCATAATAGTACAATCATAAATCATCTCAATTAATTTTAATGTACTTACATATTACATATTTCGGGCTAGGCATCATCACTAAGTTCTTGTTTCAAGTTTATTGCGAGTCGTTCTTTTTCCCCTTACTTTTAATTTTGTACAAGTTTGGTTTGCATTGTATGAGTTGTCTGAATTGAGCACAGAATCTATAAACTGTCTTTTTCCAGAGTTGTCAGATTTCTGAGACCTTTACGAATACTTGACTTATCTGTGAGGTTTTGAACAACATTGGCAATTTCAGTCAATTTTTCTCGATCGTTTTTCACTTCCTTCTCAAGTTGTTTCATAACATAACCTTTTAACTGTTTGGTCTCCAATCGCTGGTCGATACAATTATTTTACCAGCTTTAAATGTAAAAGGATATAACATTACGTTTGGCGCTAAATAGCCTCATAGTGTTGGTGCGCCGTAAAAATATCAATCAATCAATCAGTTAATCTAGACATCACCATAAACTGCCGCACTGCAGACATCGTAGCGATATGACTGTAAAATTGTTAAAGCTACGTTAAAAATCATAATCACAATCACATCGTATTCGCAATCCAATTGTCGTATTCAAGCCCATCCAATCCTAGTTCATTGTGTCCTTGTGAATTGCACATAGCTTCTATTTCCTCGGCATGCTATAGCCAATATGTTTTAAACTTGCCGATGCCTCTCCTCCTGTCACAGCTCAAAATATTCGCAAGGGAAACAAATCCAGTGTAAATTATTTTAATATGACAGCTGGCGTACATTTCAGCAGACAAATCGCCGTGCTTGATTATTGTGGGTCAATTTAATAAAAATCATTTTTTATATTTCTCCAAAGAACACTGAATTGAGAGTGCATGCATCTGACGTTGTAGGAGAATTTATCAAATATAATTAATATGTGTATATTATCAATCAATAATATGTGTATATTATCAATCAATAATATGTGTATATTATCAATCAATATTTACACGGTGTAGAAGAAACGCTTCCATTCATGAACTTTTTAGCACCAATTGGATTTTATTTCTTTTTACCATGAGGTCTGGCAAAAGCCAATATTAAAATTATAATTTTGGATGTTTTCAATTTGAGATATGCGCTTAAAAACCTGTCATTGTTTGAAAGTACGAGAAACTGGAGAAAGAGGTTTATAGAGTATTTGTTATTGCACGGTAACGTCTTTAATCAGGAAGAAAAAGCATGTGATACTGATGAAACCAAGAATTATCTTCTCATATTTTTGCATTAATATGAAAAGGGTCACCTAGGTAAGAAATGCAATTACGTTCATTCGTTTTTGCTGATGCATACGTGTTTACATAATAATCTTAACAGGCTTTTAAAGCAAATAGGATTTTAAAGCAAACAGGCTTTTAAAGCAAACAGGATTTTAAAGCAAACAGGATTTTTCAACAGAGAAATCGTTTCTTTTAAGGCTCACTTAGAAAATAAAAATATTGATTTTTGGAAACGTGCATTTGTAAAATCAAAAGCTGTTACTGTTTTGAGACTCTCCCATAATATTAATAATATGACCATGTACAAAACATACAGCATACATCACTAAATATTCAGCATCATATAAAGTTTCATGCATAATAATTTACTGAATAAAACTGTTCATTGTACTCTGATTAGCTGCATATGTTGGTATAAACAAGGGTATTAATCCAAATATGGACTGTATATTTTATTGTCGAGTCAACATAGTTTTTTAAAATTCCAATCTATTGTTGGTAATTGTCAGAACCCGTTATATCATTCCATTCAGCTTGACATTCTTCTAACTGCAGTCAGAAACCAAGCAGGACTCATAAATCTGAGCGAAATTAATCTTCTCTATTAAAAACACGGGAGGTTGGTGAAAACAGGGAAAAACTGGTGCACAAAGGTCAAAATAGTCACTAGGAAACATTGTTTGCGCATCTTCACGTGGAATCATTAAAATGACAATGTAATAATTGTAGAATAATGCAAATTGTGCCTCTATGATGAAATATTGGATACAATGATTTATTATGGACATGGATACATTCACTGAGTAAACATTTTCTTTAGATTGGACAACACAAATTAAATTGTGAGCTTGGTATTCATGGATCATGTGTCAATTTACGGCAGGAATTCTGGAGAGAAGCAATGCTATTTCTGTTTTTTAAGATCATCGCATCTGCACCAAAATTAGCTAAAGAATATAAAACTTCTTTTTTCTATAAAATCACCTTCCTCTTTGACTGGAATATTTAAAAACGGGTGAACACCTCCAGTATATCGAGACCCATACGCGTTAAACCAATCAACATTCTAACAGTATATTAATGTTATAAGTCAGCAGACTGCATGTTAATTAAAAGCCAGACAAACCCAGATTATTACAGTGCTACATTTCTAATTAACACACACACGCACACACACACACATATAAACCAAGAATTATCTTCTCATAAAAAGACTCATTAAGAGTCGAAAGCGCTTAGGCTAGTTAGTTACTAGTTACGTACTGTTCGTCGTCAGTTTTTTGCATCTATTTTAATTAATCCCTGACACACGTGATCCATTGGTGGATCCAGTACGCTTGAAAGGGTTGTTATTCGCCATATGATTTGTATTCTTTATATAGGATGTCCTTTAGGTTTTTTGGTCTCCGGTAAGCTACTACAGGTTTTTTCGGAAGTATTAGGTTTAGTATGTCTGACGATTGCACGGTTGGCCAGTGGTTTGCGATGATTTTACCTACTTTGGGATCTACTCGAAACCAACCGACAAACACCAGTATCTCCTCCCAACCAGCTGTCATCCAAAACACTGCATTAAGGACATTCCATATAGCCAGGCACTGAGGATACGCAGAATTTGCTCCGACGATGAAAGATTCTTAGAAAGGTCTAAAGAGCTGGCTAAACATTTAATTTAATTTACCGAGGCTACGAAAAAGACCTGATTGCGGAGGCAATCCAAAGGGCCAAACAAACAAACCGTGATGACCTACTCAGATATGGATAGAAAGAAAAGGTTGATAGGATACCATTTATTCTGACCTATCACCCAGACAATCCCAAAGTAGGTAAAACAAACCTGTAGTAGCTTACCGGAGACCAAAAAACCTAAAGGACATCCTAGTCAGGGCAAAGCTAACGCCAATCGCTAGTCAAAACCAACCTTGTCAATCTGGACCCTGTGGGGATAAAAGGTTCAAAACCTGTCAACATATGATAGAGACCAAGACATTCACTAGCACAGTGACTAAAGAAAAACTAAACATACAAGGTCCACACGAAACGTGCAAAACAGAGAATGTGATTTATCTCATCACATGTAAGATCTGTGGCCTTCAGTACGTCGGAGAAACTGAAAAGCTACACAAAAGAATAAACCTTCATAGATCTGATTGGATGACAAAAAAGCTGTACAGAAGCCCGGTCGCAGAACACTTCTCCTCCCCTAGCCACATTTTCAGTGATATAATACTTATCGCTATTGCTAACAACCACAGCTGGAGTTCCGAAACCAGGAAGGAAAAGGAATCATACTGGATACGCCGCCTTAGAACATTGAAACCAAGCGGTCTAAACCAAGAAGACTAGAAAATGAAAACTATGCACTAGTAAAATTTAACATTTTCTAAATCTTCTTATTATCCTTCAATTTTTACTATAAGAATAACCTGTATAGAATCAAATATCCGGGATATAATCTGCGTTACATATGTACAAAAAGTAAAAATAGATGTCGCTTTGGCTTGTAGACTTTTAGGGAATTATACAACGTTTTCAGTTTCCGCATCTAGTCTATACAAGCTGGTTGTATTTATAGTTTTAGCACATGTGAAGACAGCCATGTAGAGGTTTACAAACACAACGTTTTTGTGTTTATTTGTTTATCGTATATATGTTTTGTATTTGCCTTTGAAAAAGACTCATTAAGAGTCGAAAGCGCTTAGGCTAGTTAGTTACTAGTTTCGTACTGTTCGTCGTCAGTTTATTGCATATATATATATATATATATATATATATATATATATATATATATATATATATATATATATATATATTACTTTTTAATTTTTAATTTCCCATCTTACCCCAAGACTAATAGAACGCTGTTACGTATATTGTATTACTCAATTATCATTGGATTTCGAGTTTGACTCCTTGACTCCACAATATCACACAATGGTAATGATGTGGATGTTTTCAGCATAGGATTTCT